ATTATGAGAGAAGAAGCACGCCAACATCAATCTGTATTCCATATAATGGCAGACTTCTGTCCTGTATTTGCTGTTGTACCCTTCTGACTCACAAATCTCCCACTGACACGCTGGTTTCTTTGCCAGCTCCTCCATCATCATCATCTCTGACTTTGTCAAGGACTCCTCCATGGTTTCAACAACCCTACAGAGGCTAATTTCTAGGGAACTTATACCATCATCTGTTGCCAGTCTGACACATCTCTAATGTCAGCACCTTTCCTACCTCTACATCACCTATTTTATTATTCAGTACTATTACTGGCAATTCTGAGGTTCACAACCACTAAAAAGGAGAAAAAAAAATGCTAATGGCTTGAATAATAATTGCCTCTGACATACACAAGTGTCACCAATTAACTGTCCAAATACAGCTGAGAGAAATCTGGTGTTGTTTACAGGCCTGAGGTTTAAAAAAAAAAAAAAGGAGGAAAAAAAAAGAAAAAGAAAAAGCCCACATCTTCAGTGCATCGCTGGTTGATGAACTCTTCTGAAATAACCCAACAAAAGGAATAAGATATTTTGTTCTTAGGAGTAGCCACTTGTCTAACTGACTGCTTTTACCAGGAAGCATGTAATTTCTGGTGATTGCTTGGGAAACCTTAGGAAGTGACCGCATACCTTAGAAGTGGTCAGCACAGAGGAAAGGTTTTTTTTAACCTCACAAAGTAACAATGGTATCCTATGTAAATCACAACTATGGGATGCAAATTCTCATTTGTGGGCTCTGCCAGCAAATGCAGGTTGGTTTCTTTGTCTTTGAAAGGCAGCACCAGTTTGCTATAGCCAAAAGTTTTCATGGAAAGGTTCAGTGCCTCAAAAGCTTCTCTCTTTCCAGGAAGGAGCTTCCATGTCAAGCAGGGTCAGCAGTCTGGAGAACTGCCCTGGAACGGGAGCACCCTGTTAAACAGATGTTCTGGGAGATGGTCTTAAACAGCAGGTCAGAACAAGGTTGGGTTTCTGTATCTAGTGTGAAAACTTTCCAAGCACCAGTGTTAAGTAAGAAGACGGTCAAAAATGTTAGGAACTGCTGCCCGGCCCTAAAAATGATTAATTTAGTTCTCCTTTATGACTAACAGGAGAGCTGTCTTAAAATGATGAGCTGGATTGGCACTCACTTCCACTTGGCAGCTCCCCGTGCTCCACTTGCACATGCAGTGATTCACCAGCAGTGGGTGGTGAATAAGGCAGGAGCGGATGAAAAGAATACGGGACGCGATCTTCCTTGCCATACGGAGCCCATCCCATGAAGAGTGAAGCTGATTGTTCCCTTAGCCCTCACCTTAAAACGCGTGCTTTAAAAACCCAATTAAATAAGGAATCTAGCTGGACTTTCAGGATGGTGAAGCTATTTTACGAGTCGGTTGATCCAGCTGGCACGCCTTTGTGTAGAGCACTTTTTCACCGGCTAATTATACTGACAGCTTCTCTGCAATACCCTGTTAATATCAACTGTCTAAGGAGTGCCTCTGCAAATGGAAAAGTCATTACATTCCCGTGTCACATTCTGCCACCTGTGCTCCCAAAGACCCACACGTCACTCTGTTCTCCAGTAGCCCTGTAATTGGGCTGTGATCAATGCGAAGATAGCAGCTGGTGCAAGCGACGGAATTGCTCTTCATCTGTTGGGCTGTGACATACCCAACCATTTTTAGACTGTAAAATATCATTCACTCAAAAGAAAAAGAAAAAAAAAGAGGAAAAGCGTCCTGCCTTCCCACTGATGGCCCAGAACAAATTAAAACCACCCTTTAGATATTTGCGTCTGGGCAAACTGAGTTACTCACCTCCGAGTGGAAAGCTGATGGGGGAATCCATCACCTCCCACCCGTTCTAAAATAACGGTGGATAAATGCCACCAAAGCTGAGCTCCAGCCAAGGGGAGGGGAGCAGCAAGGTGTTCAGGGCAGCCCCCAGAGATGGCCCAGCTTCGGGCAGGCCCACAACAAGACAGCGTTGGGGTGGGGGGCAAGGAGGAAGGAAAAAAAAGAAAAAAAAGTGCACGCATCCCTTCGATACTATCGAGCCTTGGGTTTGTTTACAGTCTCACTGTATTTCCATGGAAACTCTAATTGTCATAGCATGCAATAGGGCAATAACAGGCTCCGGCCCCGCACGGAACGCTCTCCCGAAATGCACCCGCGCCGCAGCCGCAGCCTCAACGCCGGCACAGCGGCCCGAGCCGTCGCTCCCGCAGTCCCCGCAGTCCCCCCTTAAGATGCTCTGCCGCGCAGAGCGGCTCGGACGGAGCGTGGCGAGGAGCTCAGCCCCGGGGCTATGAGCTTCGCCGGAGCCCGAGGCGCGGGGCGGCTTCCCCGCGGCTGCAGGTGAGCGCGGCATCGGCGCGGAGCGCGGAACGGCCGCGGAGTTTTGCGCGGGGAATTTCGCCCCTTGTCCCGTCCCAGGATGAGGGTTGCCAGGAAAGGCATCGTTGCCAGGCGGGCTGGAGAGGGATGTGGGAATGGTAAAGCAGAGCCCGTCCCGCCCGCTGCTGCTCCGTTCTGCGGCAGCGCGTTGCAAGTTTTCTGATCTGCCCGTGCTTCCTTGGAGCTGCGGAAATAATCTCGTTAGATGGGGTTGGTTTGTTTTGGGAAGCCATGTTCTCTTTTTCCAGACCAGCGCTGCAATCTTTGCTTAAGTTGGGCGTATAAAGAGGCATAGCATGGCACCACAACCCGTTTTTTGGACTGGTGAGGTGATGTCAGTCTTTAGAACTCTGCTGGCTCCCCGACCAGCTTGTGCTGAGCAGCTGCAGTCACTCTTCAGCCTTTGTTGTGAACATGAGTTCACCGGTTTCGATTTGGGGTTTTCAATTCAGTCTGTGCTGAGATGAGGGCATCATCTCTCAGGTCAGTGATTCCCTTAAGCTCCGGTGGCCAGGTGAGCACAGCCTGTCTCGTTCAACCTTGTGTAAGTCAAGAATAAGACTGACTTTGTTTTGCTACACATTCCTGTATGACAGGGGCCGTGTATCACAGGGACGTTTTGTATTTTGCTTTCTCCTTGTACATTTTTGTTTTCAAGGTTGAGAAAGGACTTCCAAGCTTATAAATTGTTCTCAGCAATGGAGATGAATAGTCCTGTGCAGGCACTCTGAACAGGACTGAACAGACTGTACTGACACCAGCCAGTACAATACGATGGGTAGTAATATTGTGGGACACAAGATGTTGTCTGTAAACAAGTCTTGATATAAACAACACACAGTGTTGAAGGAAGATCTTCTGAAAGGCCAATTTGCCTTCAGGGGAGTAAGATTGCCTGCCTAACTTTCATGTTCTTGAAAATCTCCCCTTAAGCATGTAAAATAAAACCAGGGATAGCTTGTGAATTCATTCTGCTGAATGGTGGCTTATGGGGTTTGTATTTTAAACAGCAGCTTTAAGTGGAATAAGGAGACGAATTGGAAGATTTAAAATATCAAACTAGTACATTTTAGGTTATCTGGTATCTTAATTCAGCATACTTCCAGTTTTGTCAAGAATTACCTTAGAAACATGATTAGCAGCTGAGCTAAAACCATACTACAGGATATTGAAGTGAAGGCAGAAATGCACAGAATCCGCCAACAGTCTTTTAATTAAATTTTTAAGAAGTAAATTTTCATTTAATAAACATGTTCCAGCCTAACAACACAGACAAAGTTTTGCTCCTTGACCCTAGCCTTAGCTTTATGCCCATTGAAGATAGGAGATTAAATAACTTTCCACACGCTGACAAAACCTGTCAATGACAGTTTCACCAAAAATTCTAGAAAGGGAATTGCAGTTTTGGCACATGGATCAACAAAACTTTCACACATATGTAACTGTCCTTGGAAGCCTATTATTTTAAATTAACTTACTATTTTAACTAAATATCAGTGTGCACTGTCTCTATTCAGTATGACTTCTGGACAGGTATGACTCCATGAGAGTTTAATCATTACTGAAAACACCTGTAGATACTATAAAAGCAGTCAATCTCCAGGTTTTATAGAGAAAAGAAACATGTGCAGCTCCTTTCTGCTTTTTTTCTGCCTCATACCAGTTAAAATAGAAGAAAATACAGAATGGACTTTCTTGGCTAAGAGTTACATATGTAAGCAAGCAAAATAAATGGAAAGCTTCTTCCTTCAAAGTCTTCATCAACTCAATAGCATTTTAAAAATGTGTGTTTTCTTTAAATATCAATTTGCTGCTGGATTTCTTCCCTCTTTCCTGTTAGTCTTCCTATTCTCAGGAAATGACTGTGTGGTTAGTAAGCAAGATTTGGACAGGTCTAGCTCTTGACTAAAGGTTCATTTCCCTTTCTCAGATAACTCCTGCTTCGTTTTGTATCTGCAAGCGGTCAAAGACATGTTCAGCTCATGATGTTCTCTTCATTTGTGCAAGATATAAACTGGAAAAGGAAGGCAAAAGGAAGGCAAGCAAAAAGAAAATTATCTAGAATTACACCAATGGCTTTTTCATTATTAACTCCTCAGCTGGAAGGGTTTTTCCTACACGCTTCTCAGCCAACGTGAATGCTTCTGTACGAAGATAATGGGTTGTTCACCCTGAAAATGTTAGTCAGGTAGTATTTCATATGGAAATGCAATGTACAGTTGAAATGGCTTTCACGAATCCATAAAGAGTCTGCAGGTTACAGCTGCATGTACACTCCTAAATCAGCAAAAACATCAGTCATCATCCAAAGCCATGCATCTTCCATGCTGAATACAAGATATGTGACACAAGATATGTAATTCTGTAGGGCTGAGGTAGGGCTATGTATTTTATCAAAGGTACAGACATGCTCGAGTTTACTGCTTAAGTTTGCTCACGTTTAGAGAGTTGAAAGAAATTTCAGGTGGTTGTGCAAGTCCCTGTTGTCTGCGGATCGGATCATATTGTTTTCAGAGGACTGCTGGCATAGCAGAGACTCAGGGAAAAAAGAAGTAAAAAGCTACGTAATTTTTTAGCTAATAGTTCTAAAAGGAGAATGCTACCAAACTGAAAACTGCTGGTAATATCAGTATCAAAATAGAGAGATGTTGGGTCACTTACAGAACCTTTGGTCTGCTTCCTTTAAAGATGGTTGAGGGAAGGGTAGTTTCAGGTAGTGTTAAATGAGTTGTTCTCAAAAAGCACTTCAGCTCAACATTGTGAGAAGTTGGCAAGGCTTAGTTCTCACGCAGCAGCGAAGCCATAAAAACTTGCCATATCTTCCCCATATTTTTTAAGTATTTCTCATCTCACCTGAGATTACAGGTACAGGAGTTACATCCCAAAGCACTGTCAAGGAATGTTCTGAGGGCGTTGAAAGGTTGGTTTCCCCAGTGGCTACAACTGGTGGTGTAAAGGAAGGAGCACAGCTGCAAAGAGGAAATCAATAATGTTACTGTGCTTTGAAGACAGCATGATACAGTCCACTGGGAAAGGCTGCATTCCCAAGGAGACCTACCTTCTTTTGGTTGCCATATTTAGCCCTTTCCTCAAAAGGAAAAAAGAAAAAAAAAAAAAGCCATTTCCTAAAAATGCGTATTTTGGTTTTGTTTTGATCTTTTGTCTTAAGATTTCTAAACATTAAGTTTAGAACTTGAGCTGGCGCTTAGGGGGTTTTATACTTCAAACCTTCTACATAAGCAGGTTTTTAAGTTAAAGTGAATTTGACTGTTTTCCCTCTAACATGAAGACGAATCACATCAAGATTGTGTATATAACTTTGTGCTGAGCTAGGATTCAGTGTTGGATGCTTTGTGATTGGCTGGGATTTGCACGGAGTACAAACCGTGCCCCCAGTTTCAAGTAAAATTACTTTGTTGGGTGATTTGGACACAGTTTTCCCTTCTGCACTAGTGCTAGATAAAATATGTTCAATACTTTGTAGAGGATGGCAGGTAGATGCACCATATTAGGAACCCCATCTTGGGGTGCTGACAGTAGATCTCCTTAGAAACTGATCATCTTTGAAAGCTCTTACCTACTTTGTGTCAATTTTCTACTAGCAAGGGAAGAAATACTACTGCAGTTGCTAACGTGTGTCAAAACTTCATACGTTTTCAGGTGCTCTCATTATAGTTTGCTGTCATGTAATGACTAGGCACATGCCCAGATGGTACTTGCAATTTCCTTGCTCATATCAATGAGCTGTTATTCACATGAGTAATCTCACTGACTGTAAATGGAGTGCTTCTGTAGCTGACTGTTCTTCACAAAAAGCCTGGCAGTATGGTCTATAGCAAAGCACAGCTAAAAACCAACTTCATAATGCCAGTTGTAATTGTCTAATCATAGAATGGTTTGGGTTGGAAGGGCCCTTTAAGATCATCTAATTCCAACCCCAGCAACAGGCAGGGACGCCTCCCACTACACCAGGTTGCTCACAGCCTCATCCAGCCTGGCCTTGAATGCTTCCAGGGAGGGGGCATCCACAACCTCACTGGGCAACCTGTTGCAGTGTCTCCCCACCCTCACAGTAAAGAATTTCTTCCTAATATCTAGTCTATATCTACCCTCTTCCAATTTAAAGCCGTTTCCCTTCATTCTGTGTCACTATCTGTCCCTCCCCAGGACTTTGATGTGAGCAGATCTAGGTGCACTGAATGCCATATGATAAAACCCACCAAAGGAATTTGCATTAACCCGAAGTTATGCCATTGCCTTACAGCGTAATAACACCTCTATTAATTCACTTGCATTAAGGTGATACAGAGTAAAATTACATTTCTGTACAGTCTACTGTACATCAGCATCATATTTCCTTCAGTTGCTAATCAATGCCTTTCTTGTTCTAAGCAGGACTATAAAATGGATTTAGGACTCAAAGACCATGCCAACAGGACACCTACCAAGAACACTTCTGCTACTGCAAAGAATTTTTCTGCCTGGGAGGACTACAAGAGCAGTGTCGATGACATACAGTACTTTCTTATTGGGCTGTACACACTTATAAGTCTGGCTGGCTTTGTGGGAAACCTGCTTGTACTAACAGCTCTAACAAAACGCAAGCAGAAGACAATAATAAACATTCTCATCGGTAACCTGGCCTTTTCTGACATCTTAGTGGTGCTGTTTTGTTCTCCTTTCACGCTGACGTCTGTCCTGCTTGACCGGTGGATGTTTGGCACTGTTATGTGCCACATAATGCCCTTCCTGCAATGTACATCCGTTCTGGTTTCAACTTTAATGCTAATATCTATTGCTGCAGTCCGATACCGTATGATAAAATATCCCCTCTCCAGCAACTTAACGGCAAAGCACGGCTATTTCTTAATAGTTATCATTTGGGCCGTTGGCTGTGCCATTTGCTCCCCTCTTCCAGTTTTCCACAGAATTGTGGACCTCCACAAAAGCCTCAATTTAGAGGCACTGGAGAACAGGCTCTTGTGTATTGAGTCATGGCCTTCTGACTCATACAGAATTGCCTTTACCATATCCTTACTGCTCATGCAGTACATACTGCCACTGGTATGCTTAACTGCAAGTCACACCAGTGTCTGCAGGAGTGTAGGTTCCCGGCTGTCCAGCAAAGAGGGCAAGTTCCAAGAAAAAGAGATGATAAACCTCACCCTTCACCCATCCAAGAGCACGGGCACTGAGGCACAGCCCTCCAGCCACACCAGCTGGAGCTGTGCCCTGGTCCGAAAGCACCACAGAAGGTACAGCAAAAAGACATCAACTGTGATGCCAGCTATTTTAAGGCAGCATCAGGATGCTGACTTCAGAGACCTCCCAGAAACATCTGGCACAGAAAAAAGCCAGCTTTCTTCCGCTAGTAAATTCATCCCAGGGGTACCAATCTGTTTTGAGATGAAACCAGAGGAAAATACAGAGATCCAGGACATGATTACGGTATCCCAATCCATCATCAGAATTAAAACAAGGTCCAGGCGAGTGTTTTGCAGACTGACAGTGCTAATCCTAGTTTTTGGTTTTAGTTGGATGCCTCTTCACCTCTTCCACATTGTGACGGATTTTAATGCCACTCTCATTTCTAACAGACATTTTAAATTAGTGTACTGCGTATGTCATCTACTTGGCATGATGTCCTGCTGCTTGAATCCCATCCTCTATGGGTTCCTTAACAACAGCATAAAAGCTGATCTAATGTCCCTTATTCCATGTTGCCAAATACTTTAATTTTATGAGCCTCAAGATAAAATAATTTGGCTTTCGTGCATACTAATGCATATAGCTGTATGAACTGTATTAAGCTTAATTAGTCTGATTTGGTTGTGATTAGTGGCATCTCATGTGAGTGGGTAGTTCTAAGGTTGCACGTGCATTGGCCAGACTGTATGAGTGTATTATGATAATGTTCTTCTATCTGTTGCACATAGGAAATCATGCCCAGTGTACAAAACCAGAGTACAAATTCCATTACCTGAAATACTGCCAGTCTGTACTTCTGAAATATACAAAATATGAGTCATAAATGTGAGAATACCTAGACTTATCAGTATTAACAATCATACATCTAATTATAATAAAATACGTATCTTTTACTAAGTTACTTGTTGAGACTACTTCAGTGCCAACTTTGACTGTTTCCTAAATTAATAGAAAGTCTGTTTCTGGATGGGATTAGAAAAATATTTTTCCCTTGCTCTTCAACTCATCGTTTTCAATACATTTACACCACCTTTTGCTGCTTCTTCCCAGGTTGCCCTATTCCCTGAAATGAGTTTGGGGGCAGTCGTTATTGAGATTGTTTCTGTCTCATCCTGTTTACCCAATGCAACACATCTCTGATTACCTTACCTTAGAGTTTTCACTCTGGCTTGTCATTTTATGGAATTTTCAGCCATACTTACATATAGCTATGCCTTTGTGTTTGCACTGATGGCTCCCATGAACATGCAGCACGTTTCTGATCAGCGTGAGACTTCATGATCTAAGAAACTGATAGTGGAAAGAAAAAGAAAATGGGAAGAGAGCAGGATTTTTTTTTTCTTTTCTTTTGCCAGAAAGCAAAATCTTGATGCATTTCATCATAGATGACCCTTTTGCTTTAGGTCAACAGCTTTAAGATACACCTGCCCAGGTGCACAGACCTACACATGCTACCAGCCCCAACTTCATCATCTCCTTTTTAACCAGACAGGTCTTTTTTCTCCCACACTTAAATCACATGCATCTTCCCTAGATCACAATACATTGAATAGCATAAATGGAAAAAAATTATCTATATATACACATATATTTCCCATGGGTTACTCTAATTTCATAACCCACCTCTGCCCTCAGGGTTCAATAAGTGTACAGTCTGAACACTGAGTTTTCAGTCAAACTTCTCCAAGGGTCTAGCTGGTGATTCTTCCTTTTTCTCCATTTGAATTCCCAATCTGATAGTCTCTTTAATAAAGCTTTTCCAGTCTGAAAAACGAAGTTATTGTTTTTGTAAATGAGTGGATGGGAAGGCTCGTGATTTTTTATTTTTGGTTGTTTTTTTGCCTTGGGATACTTCTTTTCCATATAGTCGTTAAAAATGGAAGCAGCCAGGCTTCCATGTGTTTGAAGGAACACTCAAATTATTCTAATGTTACAGTTTTGAGACCTTTGAGGCTCAGGCTGTCACCGGGTGAGGAGATTATTACATACTAGTCAGTAATATCGTTGTTACTGTCATTAAGGTATTTCCCTGAAGTCTAGTCCCCTGTAACCCATCGTCCTTTGTTTTCACTAGTGGTACACTTACATAGTTTCTGCCTGGACACTGACTATTGCATTTTGCAGATTATTATCTCCTAACAACCTACAGTACGTCATAGAGTACAAAGAGTGCAGGATATTCAAACAATACATTCCAAGTAGCTTTTAAAGAGTTTAAAATTGTTTAATTTGGAAATACTTAGGGTTACTCTTGCTAGATAAGCTTAAGTAAAAAAAAAAAAACCAACAAAACTAGATCCTCACTGAGAACACTAGGATGCAGTCTTATAAAAGTTACAGCAAATTATGCCCAACTTACATCCACACATTCTCTTGCCACTGTGATGTGTCATTTAACCTTACTTTACCATGTAGTGTAGCCAAATTGCGTAAGAGTTGCATCATTTCATCTTCTACTACTTACTCCAGGTTTCTTATAATGTATTTTTTATTTTTACTGTTATCTTCCTTCCTATTTGCAAATTGTAGTTAATTTCTTCATTTCTTTATATACTTTCAGAATTTCAACCATTTTTTTCCTGCTACATTTAGGACTGTTTCTATAATGTAAAGTTTTATTCAGCGATGACTTTTTTCAAATTAAATTCTACTCATTTTAACTGTGTGTGACACACAGAAATGTTTGCATAAGTCCTTTGGGTAAGTTTCAGAAGCTCACAAAGATTACTCTGTGTGCCAGTGATTTTATGAGAGCCCTGCCCATTTGCCTGGATGGAGTTAATATCTGTGCCCCCACTATTTATACTGATCAAAACATGAAATTGTAATTTGGCAGTAGGAAATTAAATGAAGACAACTACTGACCTTCTTTATTCCTGTGACGTCTAAAAATTTGTTTACAATCAGTGGTGGGAGAATGTGTGTTTACCTTTTATTTGCAGAACAATCATACTCATTAGAGTTTGACGTCTCCAAAATGTCAGCATCTTTCCTCAGACATGTTTGATAAAAATAAAATGTTTTCCCTACCTTCCATCTTCTTTAAGCAGCCAGTACACCTCGGACTCAGTGTCAGCAAAGAATACGTAGGAAGAAGATAGTAGAAGGAACAAATTCAGTCAGGCATTTCCCAAAAGAGGGAGAGAGGAAAAAATGAAGCATATTTAACACTTCTCCTGCCTGGGAAAAAAATCAAAGCACAAGGATCCTCCCTACACCATGCTTGTTGAGTGGTCCTAATCCAGTTGGAGCTGAAGCAAGCGCTCCGAAGCGTTCCATGTACAAGTGACTGGCAGCATGATGCTCTCTCCTATGTGCACACCTAACAATCTTGGGAAGATGCATCTGACCACAGTGTCCAGTGGCATTTTCATGAGAATGGTATCATTATTCTATGTAGGTAGGCAGGTACATACACAAATATGCTAGAAAACAAGGCACATAAAGATCAATCTTCAAAGAGCACATTAAATCCCCAGTCCTTAGGCCAGTTAAACTGCTACTGAACAATTTCTACTGTAAGGAAAAGTCTAAATAATGAAGATGATAGAAGTTTTGTTTTGTTAGCATCTGCTGAATGGAATCAGACAATGCTAGATGCCAGTTCCACTGGAGTTCAAATAATAAGGGAACATAGTCATACGGGGTTCTTCCCTTCTAATAAAAGAAGGGAGGGAAGAATCCTCTCAGCTGATAATTATATATGATGTATGTTAAAACTCTTCTGGTTTGACTCACACGAGGAAAATACATGTTTGGTTTTTGTAGTTGTGTAAAATATTACCACAGACAAAGCTGACAGTTGGAAATGTCAAAGCTTACCCCTTGTTAATGGCTGGCCCTTGTCCCTCTTCTTTCTGCAGTGAAGGACACAGGAGCCTATTAGGATGTGCCACCTCAGATGGGTCACTCCCAAGCCAGCCAAGCCAGAGGATCCCAGCACACCAAAAACTCAGTGTAGGTTGACACTACAGTATATTTATACAGGGGAAGAGATTGGAGCCAAGGTGGTCCTCCTGAGCATTTCAACAGCAGTGGCTGAGATAGAGGTATATATCCCATACATCTGCATCAGCTGCAGTCCTATTGGGCAGTGCCTTGATCAGGCAGCAAGGAGCACCAGCTCTGAGCAGGGCAGTGACCACTGAGAAGCAGACAGTGGAGAAACAGCACTCCACTGAAGAAACAGAGAGGAAAATCATATTGCCACTGTATTCCATGGTGGTTGCAGCCTTTGTAAGCATGTCACCCTGCTCCTGGAGCCTGGAAGCTCATAATATGATGCTTCCTTTCTAGCAGTGTGAACTCCTGAGGGATGAAAAATAAATCACTAACCTGAAGGTGTGGGAGAACTAAGAAGAGGAGCACAGGAAGGAAAAAAAGTCTCCACTACCAGTCATGCTGAGACAGGCACTGGCTCTCCTTATGAGAAATAGTATGGGTGGCATGGAAACTTCCCTCTGTACTGATGCTTGTGATAATTAATGTTACCAAAATATTATTAATAGATCACACAGCCCTTCTGTAATCCCTGGGGTTCCATCATCAATCACTGTACTTCTGGAAGAAAAAAAGTCATTTTTTCCACAGCAGTTCCAGTATCTATCTTTGCAGCATAAAAAATAAACAGCCATAAACATCATAGCCTGCAGAAAAGCATCCTTCATAAATACGGTTGGACCCTGGAACTTATCCTTTGAATTTGATGAAAACCAAACTATGCCTATGCAATTTATTATGAAAAGTCCTAGCAATAAAATATACTGATAGTTCTGGAAGTAAGAAAAAAAAAAATAAGGAAGCCCAAGAACAGCCTTAATGCATTGTTCTGGTGCAAGACAAACCTCTTCTTTTTCTGCCCTCACGGGCTGAAGTAATTATATAAAATCATGATACTCATGGAAGTCATTTATCAAGGTTATTAGGTAAAGCTGGGGGCAGTTTTTGAGCATGACATATTGTGTGTAATCTCTAAGATCAGATGTTTCTTTTACTTAATATCTTCTGTATGCTTTTGAATGAGAAACAAACAAACCTTACTTTCTAAGGCTTGCTGCATGTGCTACCTAATGGAGAATCCTGAAATGGATTGGTTTTGATGCTAGTGTAATTGGTTAAGGGTTGCCATTCCGATGAAGGCAGACAGAGCTGCTGTTTTTGTTCATGTTCAATTAAAGTGATTTTTGATAGGAAGAGAAATGAAAGTCAGAAACAGAAAGAAAAAAAAAAAAAAACATAAAAAAACCACCATATTCTGCCATACTGTGCCAGTGACAAAGGAATACAGCCTAAACAGACCCTTCTGAAGTGTCTGCCCCTGACAACACCACTGAACACTGTTACTCCCACGTATGACCAGGAAGCTTATTGCAAGTTGTGAAATGTCAGGAAGTGAAAAAGGATAAATGAATATGTGTACAGATGCCCGTACCACTCTCAAACTGGTTCTCTAAAGCAAGCATTACCTTTCCAACCATTCAATAAGTTTTGCCCTGTGACATGGCCATTAAGATGATCTCTGTCATACTGTGGTATGAAGTTATCTAAATTGGCAAGTTTAGCACAGCACCTTAAAACTCTGCAATTTCAGAAAAAATAGTGACATCTGCTATACTCCAAAGGTTACCATGACCTGCTGGTCTCCTCAACAAACTTTGCCTCGTTTTATAGTAAAAATACAGTATGTTCTTGGATGAAATACCCATTGATTTTGACACATACTTTGTCAAAAACATTATTTCCCCAGAAAGACTACTACTAGTGACAGGAAGATGTAGTCACAGTCTTTTCCAAAAGCTGTGCATCAGTGGTACAACTAGCATCGCTGTTGTAAATACTGTATAAGATACTTTTGTTCATCTTAGTTGGTTTTGAAAAGAAATATTCAAAAATCTTTGAAATTTAGTGCTTTTTTTTTTTTCATTACAAACTAGTATTAGGAAATACAAGGAAAGATAACACTGTCACAATTCAAATTTAGTTCTTTTCAATAAATACAAACGCTTCTTTGTGCCCTTGTCAAATTCTTATGATGGTTCATTTAATAATAAGGCTTAAGAGCACTCCTCTGGGAAATTAGCAGAATAGTAATTTGACTTTCAAGACTGAAGTACACTGACTCTGCTCTTATGTCCAGTTAATCAAATGTTTGCTTTATATTAGCAGGAGAAGGATCACATCTATATTGCTCGAATGCCACAGTAGTCTGACAGTTTTAGCAGGAAACGCTTATTCCTGTCCCTGTGAACAAAGCAGGGTATAAAAGGATTTTTGAGGCTACTTGTAGTACAAAATTTCTTCAGAGGAGTAACTTGGCACTGGTCAGTTTCACAGGTATTCATTTCTTCATACTTGGTAGGAACCAGAAAGACACAAACTCCAAAACAGATCATTAATAGTAAAACTGCTTATAAAACTGCTCATGGGTTCTGTTTTGTGTTGTTGTTTTGTTTTTTTTTAGGGAGGTGGAAGGGGGGGAAGCTCAGGTGGGGTATAACAACAAAAACAGCTAAGCAAGGAGATAACATCCCTGCAAGAAGTGCCCCTTCATAATTAATGTCCAGATTTACTTAGGTTGAGAGAGATGATAGTCTTACTCTTTTAACTGCTAGCCATTCTCTTGGCTTTACGAGGACCTCCACCAAATTAGGGTTCATTTAGTATTCACAAGGATATTGGCCTCTTGGCCTGGGGGTTAAAGAGCCGCACAAGAGATCTGCATGCAGTCTAGATCTTCACTTTCTGCTGATTTTTTTCTTTTTGTGGTGTTAGCACAACTGTGAGAAGTGCAAGCTGTTCACTGCAAGAAAATTAAATTCATTTTTATGTAACAACTGGGACTCGACACAGGCAAAACAATTAGCTTCTTTAAGGCTCTGTCAGTTCCAGAAAGCATCCTACAAAGGTAATTATTTGAAGCCTTGATGATGCATTCCCTCAGTTAATATCCTGGAGTATCCAAGCACATTTCAGATAACGTAGCCTCCTCTGGTCCTCACTGCACATCATGATGAGTGAAGTTCAGGGTTTTACTCCTATGGCAGAACTGATTTGCAAATACGCTGTACTGGCAATCATTTCTCAAGGTCATTTGGTGAGTAAAGCTCATTCAGAGTACAGTTGATCTCTTACCTGCTCTGTAGGAGTCCACTCTTCAGAAAAACTGCTCCAAGGCCATTAATGTCACGTTAGGTCCCGCCAGCTCTCTGGGCAATAACACATCCCCTCCTTGCACACTGTCATGCCTGCCATCAGCAGTGGTCCTCAAGTGCTGTTCCTTTCACAAAAGAGACGAGATGGCTGAAAAAGCAATGAAATTATGAACTCCCCAGTGCTTATTTTCCCTCTTCTGAAATAGCCTAAAACTGGAGACATACCAGAAAGCCGTAGGAGACATTTATAATGGACTTCTTGGAGCAGAAATGAGGAATCACATTTCAAAGATGAAATGAAGAAATCTGTCAGTGCAGGACAAGCTGATTAACTTAATGCATCCAGAGTTCTATGGCCTTAATAATAATAAGTCTAAAAAAAAAAAAAAAGTAATGTAATGTTGGTTATCTGCTTTGCCAATTTTCTTCTAATAACTTACATCCATTTCAACTCAATGATGGGGAAGTCTGCTGTATCCTTTGACCCGAGGACAATTTACTACATTAGAATACAGATTCGAGACCAAACTACTCTGGCTCTGCAGGTATTCCCTTTATTTCTTGTTGGCTCATTACATGACAAAGTAGGTCTGGGCCTGATAAAAGATTTTGTTGAATTACTACCTCAAAAATAATTAATGAGAGTAACACTACAAAGAAAAGGTAGCACATCTATCAAAATGAGAAGTTGAATAGAACAAGCTACCTCTAGCAAGCTATGGGAATGCTTCAGTGTATTTAATTGACACTTTTCCAAATATCTGAAAAGTAAAGGCTTATTTTCCACAGCCTGGCAGGTCCTAGTGCTGAAATAGAACTTCTGATTTGTCCCTTTAATTTTAACAGTTTATAAAAGTTTATTATGGAAGTCTATGAATAAAATTATTATCAAAGTTCATTACAAATATGACTGTACTAAGAACTTTTTCACCAAGAGCACCATGAAAGAAGAGAGAAGAAAAAGCTTATGTTTCAAGATCAGTATATATTAATAGTGGATTTCCTTCTGTTATTGACTGTATGCATTGTAATAAGCTGATTTCTTCATTAAAGAACTTCACGCGGTAATGCTCACAGTGAACTTCAAGCAGAACAAAACCTGCAATTTACAACAATAAACAATAACTAAAAGGTAGAGTTCATTTAATTATCATTAGAAACTCAAATAACCTCGCTAAAATGAATTCAGCATCTACTACACAATTTGTGCAACAGCATTCATAAGAAAGTTCTACTGCATTTGTTTCTAAGAAATAAGATGTGCAATCAGAATCATAGAATGGTTTGGATTGGAAGGGCTCTTTAAGATGACTTAGCCCCAATCCCCTGCTATAGGCAGGGACACCTCCCTCCAGACCAGGTTGCTCACAGCTCCATCCAGCCTGGCCTTGAAAGCTTCCAGGGAGGGGGCATCAACAACCTCACTGGGCAACCTGTTGCAGTGTCTCCTCCCCTTCACATTAAATATTTTCTTCCTAATATCTAGTCTAAATCTACCCTTTTCCAGTTTAAAGCCATTTCCCCTCATCCTGTTGCTATGTGCCCTAATAAAAAGTCCCTCCCTATCTATCCTGTAGGCCTCCTTCAAGTACTAGAAGGAGTGGAGTTGGCTGATTCTTTGTATCCCAGTATAAATTTATCTTCCTGATACAAGAGGCAGCAATAAAAATACATGAACAGTATACAAAAGATCCTGTTTCCTCTATTAACCATACATTTCTATTTTCCTGTATTTCCTTAATAATGACTAAATCAAGTTAAGCACCCCAAAACAAATGAACTTCATAAGTCTCTGGAATTTCCTTGGCAAAAACAAGCATTGTACTGTTGACCTGCCTGTCTACAAGTCACTCAGTCTACAAAGATGATTTCTGCCACACCGTTCAAATGCTGTTTGGCAATATTTGACAGCCTTACAAAGGAAGAAACGGAGCCAAGTCGCAACAGCTACCTCAGCATCCTTCATTTTCACGTTTCAGTAAAATCCAGAGCGATTTTCCGAAGTTTGAAGTTACCGTAGCACAGCACATCAGGACATTACCTGATTTCGTGCAGATGCTGCAGGAAGGCTCCCCAGCCCTACCTCCCCCTCTCCAGGCATTGGCTGCACTGACAGCAGCAAGCTGTGGGGGACCTCTGCTGGATGCCTGCCGTAAAAAAGGGTTGCGTTCGGACCTTTTAATGTTTTATATGAGTGTGTGTATATATATATATATATATACAGTGGAGATTTGGCAGGGTTGTGTCACTTTAAAAGGGGTTATACAAGTTGGTTATTCTTAATCAGTCAAGGTTATGAAAAACATAATAGTGAAAGTGCCCATCCAGTCCTTTAAATGAACGGCATGCTTTCGTCTACAATTGCTTGTATCATTCTGCTCATCTTTATTTAAATAGAGCAGAACAGAAGATGCTCAAAGAATCAGATGAACTCCAGCTGGTACATTCCTAGCAAAAAGACATGTTGGTGAAATTCATAAGGAACTTTAACAAGAAGGTAATAGAAGCCCCTATTAATCCTTTGAATGACAATTAAGAAATGGGCTCTCATAAACCAAAATTGAACCACAGATTGTAGAAGGATATTATTAACACAGTACATAGCCAATCTGTAACTTTGTTGTCAAAGGTACTGCGGAAGTTTAAATCAAGTTTATATGATTAATGACAGCATATCTGGTACAAAACAACCTATCTACGTCTGCTGAGATAAAAGCTTAGCACTGACAATATATCCTCAATAGGTAAACATCAGATATTTGAAGTCTGCTGTCCAGTAATTCTCTTCTAGGAAGAGTTAGGCACTACTATCCTATATACTGTTATCCCATGTCCTAATACTAATTGTGGCCCAGCTGCCCAGCCTGCTATCTCATTCTTTCACCTCTGTGTCAGCTTGCAAATGGCAGTGCTGCCTCTCTCTTACACAGCTACTCATACTAACCTTCAGTATAATAATCTACTTTATTTTAGAGTTGTAGACTTCCAAAGCCATAAAGGACTTTTGCCAAATTGTGAAGTTGCTTAAAACTTGCAGATGCGTTCATGAAAATTGCATCCCTAAGGGAAAGAATCTGCTCATAGCATTCACTGAAATGTTGCTTTTAAAGTATATGTTCTCGCCATGTTGTTAGGCAGCACTTCTAAAGTTCTGCTGTTGTAACAATAAATTGCATTAGCTAGTGATGACTGGGTTATTATTTGAACTGGCAGATGAACTGAATGAACAATTTTACAATGAAAGCAGTAAATACCCATCAAGCATAAAACTGTTCTTCAGGACGTTAGACTTTTACAAAAGGAAACCAATTCTTCTGACTGAAATTGTCGCATTTAGGAGCAGAATTTCTCTGAAGAGTCTGAGAAGGAAATCACTAGCCTGACAAATAGTATTTTTCACTCTGAAATTTAAACAGCAGGGGAAAGGAGCAAAACCAGTACATTACTGGGCAATTATAAAGCCTGCATAAAATTGTGTGAAGCATAATGGAAGTGGAAATAATTTGACATTTTCTTTCTCTTTGCCCTATAACCTTTATGCTGATTTTCCTATCAGCAGGAACTACTGACAAGTTATCCTCATAGGACTCACAGACAAAACAAAAGCTGAAGAACTTTCTTCCTGTTCCACCTCCCACACCAAAGGAACAAACAAACAAACATGAAACACTTGTCTTTCAAGCCAAGCAATAGCCTGGACTTTAAAAAGGCTCTGCATCCATCTCCTGCAGTCAGGCTGCCTGCTGGGAGAGAAGGCTCCACTCTGCTTCCTAAGAACTCCTCACGTCTATCATCTAGGAAACACGAGTGTACATAAACTTCCTCCTGTAAAAATCTGGCAATCACTACGACCTGTGAGCAAAACACAGAGAAGGCCTCTCTGAATGGTTTTGATGGGGTGCTGTGACTCTATGAAGAGAACTATTACAGAAAAACCACCAAATCCACAAGCCATTCTGTATGCGTGTGCTCAACAAGCACTAACAACCTCTATGCTCAATCATCTGCCTTCTGTATTGATTAGTTATGGGACAAACACAGTTACCATAATTATGCCCTATTTACCATTGAGGGAGCCCACAGCTCCTTCTAAGTAAGTTTTGTCTGCAAACTTAGAATGCAATCAGTTCCCACATCTAGATAATTTGTAAAAATACTGAAGAGAACTCGGCCCCTAAAGTGTATCTAAAAGTGCAGCGAGATGCCAGGAATACATTTTTTATTACATGTTAGCTTGAATGATCAAAAGGGAGAGCTTCTCTCCATAGACAGGATCTGCTCTGTGCAACATGCCAGAAAAATATCCATCCAGGTGTTCCCATGCAAAGTGCCCAGCACCTGAATGGATATAAAAATGTATTCATCACCTCTATTCAACTCCTTCTTCTACCTCTTCCCAGCAGCTACCTTACGAAGCCGTTCATTGCAGTTAGCCTGCAGAAAGAAGTCCAACAACAGCAACAAATTGCTGAGACGAACTGGAAAGCTGAAAAGGAAAGGAGATTAACTTCTAAATGCATGCAGCCAGGCATAACACTGAAGCATAAGTAAGCAAAGGAAGGTTCTTTTGAACTCACTCCAACTCTGCTCTGTTGTAATTTTTATTTGTTTATTTATTTATTAAGAGCATTAGAGACAAGAATGGCAGGTTAATTTAGCTCTTAGATTCCATGTGGTGCCATGCAATAAAGTTGCATCTCCCTGTTCTGGCACTGTTTCTCTATAAACTAATTGAGACTACAGTACTGCACATGTCTTTTTGATATCCTTCCAATTTCCTCTGGGAAATTAAGGAAAAGTAAATTTAGAAGAAAATCAGAAGGAGACGAACTGCTACCTCTTCTTTCTGCAGCACCAAACTCACTGTCTGACTAATTTATCTGTTTTCCTTTTCTGCTTGTAAAAATGAAATTGTTTCCAAAAGGATCTAGAGGAGGAATATCTGCCTGTTTAACAGACAGGAAGACAGAGATAGACAAAGTGGCTGGCTTTACCTATCAGGAAAAAGATAAGTGACAAAATCAAATTAATCGATGTGCATCTATATTTGCCCACCTAGTTCATTACAACACTGAGTAACTGATGCAAACTGAGTAAGTTGTGTACTTGGACCAAAGTAGGCACAGAACTTAGTGTTGCGAAGCTTCTAGTTCTGGTTGATAACACAGAAATGAGAAATAAAATTAAAAAAAACAATATTTGTACAGTTGATATGTTACATGATACATGTTAGGTGTGGGAGACACTCAGACAAACAAGTTCCTTTCAGGTAGATCACACAGTGAGTTCTTCTCTTATTCTGGAGCTCTGAGTCTTATTCTGAATACAGCATTAACTGGCTTATGTGAATACTTACCCTAAGGATCCCATGTC